TCCCCTGCCAGGACCAGGGTACCCCACACTCCATCCCCTGCCAGGACCGGGGTACCCCACACTCCATCCCCTGCCAGGACCGGGGTACCCCGCACTCTATTCCCTGCCAGGACCGGGGTACCCGCACTCCATATCCTGCCAGGACCGGGGCACCCCGCACTCCATATCCTGCCAGGACCGCGGCACCCCAAACTCCATCCCCTGCCAGGACCGGGGTGCCCGCACTCCATCCCATCCCCTGCCAGGACCTGGGCACCCCGCACTCCATTTCCTGCCAGGACCAGGGTACCCACATCCCATCCTCTCCCCTGCCAGGACCGGGGCACCCCAAACTCAATCCCCTGCCAGGACCGGGGTGCCCGCACTCCATCCCCTGCCAGGACCGGGGCACCCCGCACCCACAACCACCCCCGTAGCCCCGGCCGTGCCGCCCGTGGGCCGCGTCCCTCCCTCCGGCCTGAGCTTTATCCTCTCCCGGCCGATCCATCTGCTTCGCTCAGCTGCTCTCGCACCGCGGCGAGAGGTTTATTGTGCAAATCTTCCCTCCCCACCGCCAGCCCGGCTGCTCCTCCCTGCCCGGGCACCGCGGGGACGGTGGGGACGGGGTCTGGCAGCATCACCCCGGCCCCTCCAGCGGTGCCCACCCCGGCGGGACAGCGCTGCCCGGGCGTTTCGGGGCTTGGCACAACCAGCAGCACACCCGGGCGGGGAGAACCCCGCAGCCCCCCAGTTTTGGGGTGCCATCCAGAGCTCCAAGGCGTCGCCAGCTCCTGTTTCCTACCGGCGGTGCCCTCCAGGGGCCCGGGCATCCCTCCAGGAAACAACAATGCCCAGCGGAGCGGGATGCGGCCAGGGGGGATTAGGGAGCGGGGCCCGGGCCGAGGCTGCCGTCACGGCTGGGCAGGATTAGGGTGCATTAGGTGTCCATTTAGGTTTTAGGGAGGGATTTGGGGGCCAAGCTTCGGGGTTTTAATTCTGAAATGTTTAACCACTGATTCCTCGCAGCTGTGGGGGGAGGACGGCGTGGGGTCAGGTATCCGTGAGGTGGGGGCTGCTGGAAGCCCTCGGGGGGAGGGATTTGGGGACAGAGGGGACACGGGGGCGTGGGGGACGTGTCTCAGGATGTCCCCTTCAGTGTGTCCCCCAGGAGAGCCGTGGCTTCGTCCTCGGGAGGTACCTGTGCAGGTGCAAGCCGGGTTTTTACAGGGCCGGCGGAGCGGCCAGCGGTGCCTGGGCAGGTGAGAGACACCAGGGCCGGGGTCCCCGCTGTCCCCCGTGGCACAGGGATACAGCACGGGAGGACAGGGCTGGGGGTTTGGGGACACAGAACACGTGGGGGGTGCCACCAGGCCCTGGGATGTGGGGATGGCACCTGGGATGTGGGGATTCCACTCGGGATGTGGGGATGGAACCCAGGATGTGGGGATGGAACCTGGGATGTGGGGATGGAACCCGGGATGTGGGGATTGAACCTACATGTGGGAATTCCACCCAGGATGTGGGGATCCCACTCGGGATGTGGGGATCCCACCCAGGATGTGGGGATCCCACTTGGGATGTGGGGATTCCAGCCAGGATTGGGGATCCCACCCGGGATGTGGGGATGGAACCTGGGATGTGGGGATGGAACCCGGGATGTGGGGATTCCAGCTGGGATGTGGGGATCCCACCCGGGATGTGGGGATAGAACCCAGGATGTGGGGATTCCACTCGGGATGTGGGGATTCCAGCCGGGATGTGGGGATCCCACCCAGGATGTGGGGATGGAACCTGGGATGTGGGGATTCCAGCCAGGATTGGGGATCCCACCCGGGATGTGGGGATTCCAGCTGGGATGTGGGGATTGAACCTAGGATGTGGGAATTCCACCCAGAATGTGGGGATCCCACTCGGGATGTGGGGATCCCACCCGGGTCGTGCTGATCCCACCTGGGATGTGGGGATCCCACCCGGGTCGTGCTGATCCCACCCGGGTCATGCTGATCCCACCCGGGATGTGCTGATCCCACCCGGGTCGTGCTGATCCCACCTGGGATGTGCTGACTCCACCCGGGATGTGCTGATCCCACCTGGGATGTGGGGATTCCACTTGGGATGTGCTGATCCCACCCGGGTCGTGCTGATCCCACCCGGGTCGTGCTGACCCCACCCCAGTGATCCCGCCTGGCCGTGGCTCTGTCCCCAGGTGTGGCAGGGGCAGACGGGGGGTCCCGGCTGGGGTGCCGGCCGTGCCCCCCGGGCTGTGCCACCTGCGAGGACGACTCGCCCTGCCTGGTGCAGGAGGACCGGGCGCTGCGGGCAGCGGTGCTGTCGTGCCAGGCCTGCTGCATGCTGGCCGTGTTCCTCAGCATGCTCCTGTCCTACCACTTCCGACGCAGCAAGGCAAGGCGTCCCCGCGCCCCCCTTGCTCCACTGTCACCCCAAACCCTGCGGGGACAGGGATCCCCCCTGCCCACACCCCGTCCCCTCACGCCTCGATCCCTGCAGAGGATCCGGACATCAGGAATCGTCCTGCTGGAGACCATCCTCTTCGGGTCCCTCCTCCTCTACTTCCCTGTGAGTATCCAGCTGTCCCCAAGCTCCAGGATGGGGTTTTCGGGCACGGCTCCACCTCATTGTTAATTTTTGCTGGCACGGTCCCTGGGGGCTGTGCTATAAACCTTCTCAGAAAACCAAATCCCTTTTCTCCCGCTGGCTGCGGGAATTAATCCCTGCCCAAATCCCCTCCGCCCTCCCGCAGGAGTGCAGCGGGTGCTGCGGGGTCACGGGGGAGGGTGGCACAGGGAAGCCAGGTGGGACCCAGCCCAAATTCCTCTCTCCTGCTGCTCCAGGTGTTCATCCTGTACTTCCAGCCCAGCGTCTTCCGCTGCATCGTCCTGCGCTGGGTGCGGATGCTCGGCTTCGCCATCGTCTACGGCACCATCACCCTCAAGCTCTACAGGTAGCTGGGACGGGGGGCTGGGGGCTGGAGACCCCCACAGCGGGAAGGGTTTGGGGCTCAGGACCCCCAGAACAGGAAGGGTTTGGGGCTCAGGACCACCAAAATGGGAAGGGTTTGGGTCTCAGGAGAATGGGAAGGGTTTGGGTTTCAGTATCCCCACAGCAGGAAGGGTTTGGGGCTCAGGACCCCCAAAATGGGAAGGGTTTGGGTACTTAGGACCCCTAAAGTGGGGAGAACGTGGGACTCCCAAAATGGGAAGGGTTTGGGGCTCAGGATCCCCACAGTGGGAAGAGTTTGGGTACTTAGAACCCCCAAAGTGGGGAGAGCGTGGGACTCCCAAAATGGGATGGGTTTGGGTCCCACTGGGATGGGTTTGGGGTCTCACTGGAATGAGGAGGGGTTTCAGTGGGATGGGTTTGGGGTCTCACTGGGATGGATTGGGGTCCCAGTGGGATGGTTTGGGGTCTCACTGGGATGGGTGGGGGTGTCACTGGAATGGGTGGGGGTCCCAGTGGGATGGGTTTGGGGTCTCAGTGGGATGGGCTGGGTGTCACTGGGATGGGTGGGGGTCTCAGTGGGATGGGCTGGGTGTCACTGGGATGGGTGGGGGTCTCAGTGGGATGGGCTGGGTGTCACTGGAATGGGCTGGGTGTCACTGGGATGGGTTTGGGGTCTCACTGGAATGGGCTGGATGTCACTGGGATGGGCTGGATGTCACTGGGATGGGCTGGGTGTCACTGGGATGGGCTGGGTGTCACTGGGATGGGTGGGGGTCTCAGTGGGATGGTTTGGGGTCTCACTGGGATGGGCTGGGTGTCACTGGGATGGGTGGGGGTCTCACTGGGATGGGCTGGGTGTCACTGGGATGGGTTTGGGGTCTCACTGGAATGGGGAGGGGTTTCAGTGGGATGGGTTTGGGGTCTCACTGGGATGGGCTGGGGTCCCAGTGGGATGGTTTGGGGTCTCACTGGGTGTCACTGGGATGGGTGGGGGTCTCAGTGGGATGGGCTGGGTGTCACTGGGATGGGCTGGGTGTCACTGGGCCGGGCTGGGGTCCCAGTGGGATGGGTTTGGGGTCTCACTGGGATGGGCTGGGTGTCACTGGGATGGGTGGGGGTCTCACTGGGATGGGCTGGGTGTCACTGGGATGGGTTTGGGGTGTCACTGGGATGGGTGGGGGTCTCACTGGGATGGGCTGGGTGTCACTGGGATGGGTTTGGGGTCTCACTGGGATGGGCTGGGTGTCACTGGGATGGGCTGGGTGTCACTGGGCCGGGCGGGGGTCCCAGTGGACGGGCGGGGGTCTCACCCCGCGCCCCCCGGCAGGGTGCTGAGGGCGTTCCTGGCGCGGGCGGCGCGGCGCGCTCCCTCCGCGCCGAGCGGGCGCGCGCTGCGGCTGCTGGCGCCCATCCTGCTGCCCGTGCTCTGGTTCCTGGCCGCCTGGACCGCGGGCGCGCTGCAGGACGCCCGCAGGAACGTCCCGCTGGTCACCCGCGCCCAGACCGCCCGCGGCCTCCGCTTCTCCCTCTGCCGCCACGACTGCTGGGACTACATGATGGTCATCGGTGAGACCGGCCCCCGGCGCGCCCTGGGGGTCCCCAGGGCCCCCGGACCCCAGCCCAGAACTGTGGGGCTCTCCTTGTCTTATGATGAACCTTCCTGGAGGCTGCGAGGATCTGGGGGTGCCCACGGACCCCACCCCATAATTGTGGGGCTTTAGTTATGTTATTCATTGAACCTTCCTGGAAGTTGTGAGGATCCGGGAGTCCCCACAGACCCCACCCCATAATTGTGGGGTTT